GAAGCTCTCCAGGTGAGTCCACTGTGCAGCCAGCATGGAGCAGCAGAGAGACCAGGGCCCAGGCCTCGCCTCAGAGTTAGCACCAAGATAGAGCATGCTGCCTTGCGTTACACCTCCAGCTCTCTCTAGTTGGGACAAGCAACTGCCACAATCTCTGGATTCTCAGGACAACTCTCTACCAGAGATCAAGAGATTCTGACAGTTGCCCATTCCAATGGGAGAGACCTGTCACCAGACCACTGTGGTGGTCTTCAGGGTCTACCCACAACAGCCGCTGCCCCTCCTTCCTTCTGAACAGAGCTCCAGCTTGGTTCAGGTTGTCACAGCAAAGTGCTCAAAGTGGGCTCCTCCCCAAAAACCCAAGGGATGAACCTTGATGGATTGAAATCAGTTACAGTAACAGTAGCCCCATCCACCTCTGCCAGGGCCTGGCATGTGGCCATGTGACACAGCCTGGCCAATGAGATGTAGAAACAAGGTGGCCAAGGGGCTTCTTGGAAATGTTTCCTTCTCAGTATAGAGATATACATAGAGAGGGCCCTTCTTCCCCAGTTCAGTGCGGCCACCACCATCTTGTGACCATGTGGGGAGACCTGATTGATCCTCCTTGGTCCCTGAGCTGCAGGGTCAATCCTGAAGCAGCCCAGTTCCAGTGATTGTTAAACAAAACAATAAATGTCCTTGGTGTTTAAGCTACTTTTGGTATATTCTTTTTTTGCAATCAAAAGCTTCCAAAAGATATAGGCATGCTCACTTAATAACGTCTCCCAGGTGAGTTGGACAAAAAATACTGCATTTCTGATTGTCTTAGTTGGTCTCTCTTAACATCCAAGACTTGTTCAGGAAGAAGTAATTCATGGTTACAATCCTACTGATGCTGACACGCTCCCTGAAAACTAGAACCTCCTCCCTTCCAGTGAAATGCAGGGTACTTAGAGACTCTGTAATCTACTGGTAATTAAATGGACCTTCATTCATTAGCATTCCTGTCAACAACTGGGCAGCTTGGTGGAGAACGTGGTCTGGGGTGGCAGGGGTGATACGGAATAATGCACTTAAAGGTAAAGTAATACTTAGGTACACAGGTCACATCTGAGCCCCAGTAAAAGACAGGATTTACATATAATATTGTAGTTGGTAAGTTTTAGGACAATTCCACAGTCTCATGTCTATCCAATTCCATGAAGTTAGTTTTCATTGAATTGTAAATTTCCAGCAAGTTGCATTTTAATGTAGTTGTGCCTTTAAATTTGTATGCAAAGATTGCATAGGCTGTCAATTTGATGAACTCCTCACGCTATATTTATTGTGTGATATATATAATTAAAGCACCAAGATTCTATATTGACAAAAACAGAAAGTGTCTTGAAGTGAATATTAGAATTCTAAATTGGCGATATTTATTCCATGCCAGAAACATTTTTCCCCCTGTGAGTTACATTTAAGTTGTAGTCATAAAAATCACCGGGTGGGGGGGAACTGTGGACATTAAAGAAGTATTTATTTAACCTGTACCTTTTCAAGAATATATCTAATAGATAAATTAGGATGAGCTGTAGATATTAAATAAGAGGCGTATACAGTAGAAACTATGATATAAGCTGTAAAATCTACTAGTAGTCTGTGGATAAAAAGCATCTATGAGTTCAACATTCTATTACAATTTTTGCATCTAAGTCTGCTTAAGACTAACATTACCCAGTCTACTGCCTATATAATTCTTGCTTTAATTCAAAATCTAGAAATTCAGGAGGCATTTTTAAGTGACTGTAAAGATTTATAAGTTCCTCTTGATCCCTACAGCCCCAAACAGCAAATGCTCTGGGATAAGTGAGAGGAGGAAATAAAGAGCATAGCTTGACAGCTCAGTAGCCTAGAAAGTACCTTTCCATGCTGCGGACAAGATGCCTATATAACAGCAGCATGGCGTACTGGACTTGGGCATCAAGAACACCAGATCTGAGGTCCTTTTATTAGCTGTGTGCCTGTTGGTGGATCTCTTCACCTCCCTGAACCTCAGTTTTCTCCCATCTCAAATTAAGATAATAATCCCTGAACTAACTACTTTCCAAGCTTATTGTAAACTCCAAATTAGACAAATGAAGTGCTCCAAATAAAAGCAATTTGGAAACTATAAAGTGCTTTATAAATGTCAGATACTTATAATGAATACTTTGTCTTCCTCTTTAATCTCTCTAAAGTATATGAAACATGTCAACAGTTTTGTTTCTAACACAATGCCACTTGCAAAACCTAACTGTAAAATTCTGTGAAATAGCCATCAGGTAACCGTGGAGAAACAGCCAAGTCAGTATAATACACCACTGCTGTGACAGCCTAAGTATTTTTTCATATAGTGTCCTTAAGTGAGGTAGGCTGGGGAGTTTTATTGCTTCAAATAACTGCTTCCTCTAATTCTGCCTGTGTCATTCTTTTCAATTGTTCTTATTTGCCCAGCAGATATTTCCTGGCCAGCTGAGTTGGGTTGCATCAGGTTCCTATAGCTTGTTTATGGTTTATTTTAGACCAAGATCCTAGGGTGCAAGACCACAGTTAGTAATTGGCTGGGCCAGAGGTTTTTAGGCTGATGTTTCCATTGAGATGGTAATTATATAATCATTGGTTCCAAGCGAAGGTGAGGCAGAGTGTCCAGAGGGCAGGTTACAAAGAAACCTAAGACCCCCTCAACCCTTCACCCAGGCTAAGGCTAAAAGTAAGGGGTCAGAGAGTGGAAAGCGAAGATGTGTAGGGAAACCTTTTGGAGAAAGGAGTGTGGGGTGCTATGTCCTTCTTCTCAAGCCAGCGAGAGGGGCCTCCCCAGGGGCTTGGGACTGCCAGAGCCTGTAGTTAGGTGGCCTGGAGAACTGGAGCCTGGTTCACTCTTGGGTAAGCTAAAGCTTCCTCCTATGGGAGCCTGGAAGGGGCTGCACCGGGACAGGCCTGACGTCTCAGAGTCACTAGGGTAAGGGATGTGTGGGGTTTCCCTTAGGAGCTATCTAAAGGGGTACCTAAAGCTGGAATAAACCCAGGGTTTTTAGCATTTTCAGGAGGCCCCAGAATGGAGGTCCCCATCAGTGAGAGACTCCAAAGGACCAGGAAAGACCCACATGAGCTGCTTTAAACATAGTCCAGCACAGCAAGCTTGAAGCCGCTCAACTCCAGGAAGAAGTGCTCTATCTTCTTCCTTCTCACTGCCAGTTTGATCCAAGCTGGGTCTTAAACAACCTCTAGCGAAGGAGGATGGATGCGGGTGTGGCGCAAGCCTAGTGCACCCCTTCAGGAAAGGCCAGCTAGAGACCTTAAGCCTGGGGCTGGAATGGGGGAGGAAGACTTACTTTCATGTGAAGTTTGACGCATTTGTTTGTATCGTGCACCCAACATTATAGTTTTGAAATGAAGCTGTGATTGAGATTTAGCTATGACAGGGACTCTGTCAGTTTTCTAAGAATGAGCAGAAAAGGCTGGGGGCGGTGGCTCACGCCTGTAATCCCAACACTTTGGGAGGCCGAGGCGGGCAAATCACCTGAGGTAAGGAGTTCAAGACCAGTCTGACTGACATGGAGAAACCCTGTCTCTACTAAAATTATAAAAATTAGCTGGGCATGGTGGCACATGCCTGTGATGCCAGCTGCTGGAAGCTGAGGCAGGAGAACTGCTCGAACCCGGTCAGTGGAGGTTGCAATGAGCCGAGATTATACCATTGCACTCCACCCTAGGCAATAAGAGCAAAACTCCATCTTAAAAAAAGAAAAAAAGAATGAGCAGAAAAATCCAGGACTTTACCCCCAACTTTCCTTCCATCCAGGGACAGAAGATAACCAGCACTGAATAAATTTTAAAATGATAGTGAGAGACCAAAATAAAGTGGCGTTGTATGACATCTCACAAGTTGTGAATTCAAAACACATAGTTTTATATAAAATGGGCAAAGGTCCAGTTCCACAATGGAGTCCACTGACCAGTAAATGGAACTTGTTGATATAAATCATGTTGTCACTGGAAAATACTTTAATCCTGAAGAAAACAAAACATTTTGTTTTGGGTCCTAAAATTATCCAATCAACAAATAGATATTTATTTTCTGTTATGTTTGAAATCCTCCTATCTTGAAGAATTTACATTCCTTTAGTTCAAGTTAGTATAATTTCCCACCTGCACGATGCCTTACATATAGTATGTGCTCAAAAATATTTTCAATTTAATTATTCTTTACAAGATGCTTAGCACCAAGGGAAGTGGCATATTTCCAATGTTGGTAACAAATATCACTTCAGCTGGAAAATCCCCATGTTTACAAAACGTGGTGTAAACCTGAATGGAGATTGCTTATGATCTCACTTGTATTTAACACTGTAAAGTGTTGCTAAATTGTCTAATAGGAGAGAAGGGAATTTAAACTAGAAACACATAAATTGTTTTTTGCCATTCAACTGTGATGACGCACGAACAAAAAACGACTGGCCACGGGGGACCTAGACTGGAATCTCCTTCTCCTGCTCACTACACCTCGGCCCCCAGCTCCTCTCCTGTGGATGGGGACGCCAGGCTGCTTATCACAGACTCAAGGGCCGATTACGGGCATACTCGGCAACCTCTTAAGTGCTCTACAAATGCAAGGGCTTAATAACAGCCAACATTTTAATATTCGTTGATTGCCACCTGCATAGCGGTTTACATCTATTTTCTCATGCAATCTCATCAATAATTCCTGCCACTTGACACTGGAGGAAACAGGCTCAGCAAGTGGTTCCAGGTTATACAGAGCCCTAACCTGAGCCAGTAAATCCTTACTCTTACCCGCAAGCATTAAGCTTCCGTCCTGCCTGTTTTTATTTTACAGAGGCGCTGGGAGCCGGTAGGGGAGCAACAAATTTGGTTAGGCAAATTGCTAAAAGTGGACAACTGCCCTCGACGCCAGCACTCCCTGACCTCCCGGCCTCCGGCCCTCGCCGGGCTCCTCCCACCCGCTCCGGCCGACGCCGCGCCTCAGCGCTTCTACGCATGCGTTGGCGGGACCCGCGCAGGTCCAGAGGCTGAGCGGCGCCCTGGGGCCGACCCCACCGGCTCCAACGCTGCTGCCTGCGCAGTTCGTCTGTCGAGCCGGAGGACGAGGTGAACCTCGCAGCCGCTGCTATCTCCAGCGTTCATCACAGGTGCTTTGGGTCAGGACGAAAGCCTCCTTCCCTCCCCGCTCGCCAAGCTCATTCCCCGGCTCGCTCCGCCCGCCCAGCAGCGGCCTGGCCCTGCAGTCTGGCGACCGGGGTGGCGGCGGTAGGTAGTTTGTGTACGGTTACCATGGAGACGCTGGCGGCCGGGCATAGTGGGAGGGCGGCCGGGCGGGGTGAGTATGCTGCTGCGCTCTGCCCTGGCCGGGACCGTGGAGGAGCTGGCAGTGCCGTGGGTAGGGGAGCCGCTGCCTGCGCAGGAGGTGAGGTGTCTGTCCCCCGCGGCTCACCAGGGACCCCTCCTGCCGTCGTCCGCCTGTCTGTCCTCGGATCGGGGAGAGAGGCTGAGTGCTCTGTGCATGCTGTCAGGGGTCCGGAGCGATTCTTTGTTTCTGTACACTCGCACTTAGCCAAGTGTGTGGTGCTTCACAGAAAGCCCGGTAATACTTGTTAAATGAGAGTGGTAGACTAAAGGGCTTTGTCTAGGCAGGGGTGACCGGGCCAGAGTCATACAGTGTATATATCTGGGCACTTCCAGGTAACAGGGCCTTAAATAAAAGTGTACGTGTAACAATATTTAACATACGTTAAAATCATACTAAAATCATTGTGTATACATAATGCCTTTTGGGATCCATTCCCACAGGTAACACAACAGGTCTTACGTCCCACCCTGATTTATAATTATTATATTTTAACTTGGTTGAAAAGCAAGCACCATTTATTATTTGTATTCTGGTTTCTTAATCTATGAGATTCTGGTTAGTTGTTAATGTTGATTTGGCATAGCTGATACTGAATAAAATGCTTAATAAAAATTCTCTGTTTTCATAAAGGCAAGCACCACCACCCACCGTTTAAATTTTAGAACTTATGTATAGAAACGCTGAACAAATGTCATTCTCTCTTTTGTAATTCCTATTTTTAAATGCTCGTGAAAATGATTTTTGCTGTATCCTTTTATCATGTAGCACTTAGGCAGTAATTGTTAACATCTGTTAAGATTGTTAACATTTCTAAGGGCCACATTAAAAAATGTTAGCACTTTTAAAGCACCATGCTAAAGTCCTTTACATGTATTATTTAATTCTCCAAACAATCCTGTGAGGCAATTATTCCTATCCACCTTTTATAGATGAGGAAACTGAGGCTTGGAGATGTTAGAGGCGTTGCCCAAGGTCACATGGCTGTGAATTGTCAGCATTTAAACCCTTACTCCAGCATCTAAGCACTTAACCACTGCCTCTTTGGATGCTCATATTAATACAAAAATGATTCCGAGTCATGGAAGGGTGCTGAGTGTTTGATTTGCAGGGAAGACTGAAGCTGGGCTGCCTTTCCCCCATTGCAGGCATCCTGGTAGCGCAGTGTTACATTTAGCAAGAAGGCCCTGGTTCCAGTGGCTGTTAGCAGCAACGGTAAAGACAGCTCTTTATAATTAGTTATTAACTTCTATAAATTATGACTCTGAACTTTCCCACAGACCAATAAGAAATACCTTGTTGAAAAAAAAAAAAAAAAGTTCTTCACTTTGAAATTTCCTGTTGCTGGTGGTGTTCACCCTCTAGAGGTCCAGTGGATACCTCAGACTCAGGATGGTGTGATGCAAGACAGAACTCAACCTCTTTCTTCTTTCCCTTAAAGTCTGCTTCTCCTCCTGTTTCTTTTAAGAGGTCTCCTTACCCTCTGGCTCCCCTAGGTTTGCATACCCAGTGTTGTTTCTGGCCTCTTCCTGGCATCACAGATGCCAAATCCTGTTGATTCTGTTCTCAGTGCACCTCGCTTGTTCTCATCTCCCTAACCTCGGCCTCACCTTGACTCCTGTATCTCCGGCTTTCCATACTTCACTTATTGATCACAATATTGAGTCCTACGCTGTGCCAAGCAACTTTGAAATAAAGGCAAGACAGAAAGGAGGCTAAATTTGAACTCATCTGACCACATGACATCAAGAATCAGATTTGGAATAAGGTCCAGATTTCATAATTCACTGTAACAGATATCTCCAATTAGAGAAATTATTCAGCCTTCGTCTGGAAATTTCTTAGCTCAAGTCTATATTTAAAAATGGAGTCAAGTGATTATGTAAGTGTTGACCTTCAGCCGTGCCTCACGTGGAGGGTTGGGGCGGCGAGGCTTGGGGCAATACCACATGCACAGGCAATTCTAACACAGAGGGAGGATAGAGTGGCAGAGACCAGCCAGGGTCCCCATGGAGGCTAGCAGGGTGGGAGAGGCATGTCCAGGAAAGCTTCCTTAAGGAAGTGACCTTTGAGAGTTAGGTGGGTGATGACATAAAAACTGTCTGATTTTACTACTTCTGATTTTTGCCTTCCTTTCCTTCCTGCTCATCTCTGCCAGATCAAAATTCTGTACTTGATTTGCTCATCAGCTTTTATTTCTCGGCTTGCCATTTAATTTAGTTAGTTCAACTGCAATCTCCATTTTCAGAGTTCTCTCTTGTCCACACATACCCTGTATGTCTTGGCGCTTTGCATTGGCTCACTTACTGACTTTGCTGGAACTTCCTTCTCTACTCCAGCTCAAGTGCCAGCCACTGCCACTTGCCCAAATTCAGCCCTTTTTTCACAACCTAGCTCAAGCACCACCTCTTCCAGGAAGTCTACCTGATGCCTTCCCCCAATCAGAAGTCCCTTCTTCTTTTGTGATCACATAAATTCTCTCTATGTTTTATTGTTGCCATCAGTTTCTTCCTTGTATTTAAATCATTTGAGCATAAGTAGGGTAAATACTCAGCTGCTACACACCAAGAAGGCTGTTCCTGTTGGGAAAATATTGGCGTCTCTATGTGAGTGGGTTAATAGTTGTAGCCCCAATACCTCCAAGTGCCTCACCTCCTACCACCCCATGTAGTGGGTAAGAGTTTGAATGTTACCTGTGGGCATATATCATAGCTCTTTTTTTCCATTGCTTAAGACCCCGTCCAGACCAGGCATGGTGGCTCACACCTATAATCCCAGCACTTTGAGAAGCCAAGGAAGATAGCTTGATCCCAGCAGTTTGAGACCAGCCTGGACAACATAGTGAGACCTCCTCTCGAATTATTATTATTATTATCATTTTATTTTATTTTGAGACAGAGTCTCACTCTATCACCAGGCTGGAGTGCAGTGGTGCAATCCTGGCTCACTGCAACTTCCGTTTTCCAGTTTCAAGCAATCCTCCTGCCTCAGCCTCCCCAGTAGCTGGGACTACAGGCTCACACCACCATGCCCGGCTAATTTTTTGTACTTTTAGTAGAGATGGGGTTTCAACCATGTTGGCCAGGATGGTCTCGATCTCTTGACCTCGTGATCTGCCCGCCTTGGCCTCCCAAAGTGCTGGGATTACAGGCATGAGCCACTGTGCCCGGCCTATTATTTTTTAAAAGACTCTATTCACCTTGCAAAATTGTTGTAGGGTTAATTGAGATAATGCAGTCAAGAGCACTTAGCACAGTGCTTGGTGTTAAAGTAAATGTTTATCTCACATTAGTGATTCTTCTTTCTTGAGAGTGAAGATAGTTTTTTATTCTTCCTTGGGTTCCCAGGGATCTAATCAGAGGGCTTTGCACATAGGCAACAGTTAATCAATACAACTCGCTGAATGGATTTGCTCTACTTGGCAGGAAAATTTTGTAAAGTTAAACTTTCTGTAGGACTATTGTCTTATGGTTCAGGTATACTTTACTATAAGTAGATAAGCATTCAGGTCCTGAGTGATTAATTTTTCAAGTTGGCAAAAACCATCTATAATAATTTGTAATTTAACAAATACCAATTTAAAAATTTTCCCCCAAAGCCCCACTTCTAACTCTTTCAAGTCAGTTCACATGTATTATTAAAGATTTCCATGATTGATTTAGTTAATATTAATATATGATTATAACATTGTGCAGATTTTACATTATTGTACAAGTTTCTCACATTATAATTGTTAAATTGAGATTTGGTGGAAAAAGAGAAGAAGAAGGATAGAGAAAGTTGTGTTAGACTTTTTGGTAAAAATTGATAGACAAAAATATTTTTAACCCTGTGTCTACATTGTTTCTACCAGTATCGGATTTGGTCAGTCTAAATTCCTGTATGCCCCCATGTAATTCACAGGATTCTTAGAATATGACCTGAGTGAATACTCATCACTGTCTGAAAGAGTATAGTTTTAAATACAAACTAAAAGGTAGCCAGAGAGAACCTTAGGTCAGGAATGAGAGTCCATTATTACTCCCCAAAGAACTTTCTCTAGTCTTTATTAGACTTGCCAGATTACTTTTGGACTTTGTTAGACTTATTTTTTATTTTATTTTATTTTTTTGGGACGGAGTTTTGCTCTTGTTACCCAGGCTGGAGTGCAATGGCGCGATCTCGGCTCACCGCAACCTCCGCCTCCTGGGTTCAGGCAATTCTCCTGCCTCAGCTTCCTGAGTAGCTGGGATTACAGGCACGCGCCACCATGCCCAGCTAATGTTTTGTATTTTTAGTAGAGACGGGGTTTCACCGTGTTGACCAGGATGGTCTCGATCTCTTGACCTCGTGATCCACCCGCCTCGGCCTCCCAAAGTGCTGGGATTACAGGCTTGAGGCACCGCGCCCGGCCTGTTAGACTTATTAGTGCCATGTGAGGCCAAAGGGGTGGCAAACCTGATTCAGGCTCTGGAAGAAGCCTGTTTATTGTACAGAAACCTCTTCTCACTTAGTGGCCTCATTTCTTACTGCACTAGGTCTTTTAGAAACAAACCAACAAACCTGCCATGGCCACTGAAGTTAGATGTTATGGGACTGAATTTGTATTAGGCTTCCAAAAATAATATACATATATGCAGCTATAAAATATTTTGTGTATACTTTAAATAATTATCATTGAATATTTCAAAGTAAAAGCCAATTATTTCAAAAGTATTAGAAATAAAATGTACTAGGCCTGCCATCATTTTTGATAGTTATATTAATGAACATTATTATAGAGACCTTGCTTAAATTCAAAATCCTATATAAAAAATTCATAAAATAGTGTTGCTTATCAAGTAATTTTTTACTGTTTTAGCTCAACACCTGGCATTTCCCTATGAGACGTATGCCGTATTGTTTATAGTTTTCATCAGAAACTCTTGGGGTGGGCTGCGTAGAACTAAACAAATGTTCTTGTTGTCTGTTGTTACGTAACAATGTTTAGAATCACAATGTAGTAAATCTTTATTTGTCTAAGGAATCACCTGTTGATTCTACTTATAGAAATGGACCCTTTTTACTTTCCTGGGGCATATGTCACAGGGCGGTTTTCTCTTTTGCAGAAGTTATTCTAAAATTGGGCAGCTGAAATAGGTGGCAAATTCATAGAACTCTGTCTCTCTAGAGATATCTTATGGGGTTCAAGTTTTTTTTTTTTTTAAGAAATAAACACCTAATGCTGTGTACTCATTAGGATTCCATTTTAAAAATATGTACTATTTTAAAGTTTAGATTTGTCTCCATGGGACACACCAACATTTGAGAAGGATCTGCATTCTCCTGGCCCTTGTAATGACTTTCACTCTTTCAGAAAGGGGTATTGGGAAAGGATCCGCTGGTATTAATATTTGGTATTTATTTACTTAGGTCACTACCTCAAATTATAGGTGAGCTGAATCAATTCATTTAATTACATCATGGACAAATGTGGGCTGAACCATTCTGTGAGATTTGTTGCAAAATGAAGTGTCCTTTGGAAATACAACATTTCTGTCTAAAATTTAACCTTAGTGTGGAGGGTAGTGGGGAAGAAAAAAAACTGTAAGCATTTTAACAGAACCCTCAGTGTTTTTTGTAGGCTGAAGACCATGAGATGATTCTCTCTTCCTATTCTGTCTTCTTTCAGGATTAATCGTTCTCTCTGGGTTTAGCTTTCATCCTGGGTTTCTTCCCTGCGTATCTTTTTCCTCAGTTGTATATTTTTGAGGAAATTCTCCTCTCTACACTTTTGAGAGCTGTTCTCAGATCCTAACCTCCTAACTGCTTGGTGGATTTTTAATTAAAAATTGATTCAGATTTTTTAAAGCTTAATATAGCAGAATGGTTTTATATATGGATGGGTTTAAGCATTGCTTTGTAAAGTACTCGATAAAAATAATTGATGGGTTTTTGTACCATACATTTGCAGGGTGTGGTGTCGATCTGAAGAATATTTTGCTTTCAAAGGAGAGATGTTGTCTCCAAATGATAAAAAGTTAGGAAAACTGGATCCATTTTATCGACCTTCAGTGTCTAAGCAGAAGACCAGTGCAGAAATCATAAGTGAAGCACGAAATGCATTAAGAACGGTTAGAACCCAAAGACCATTTACACCACAGGAAGACCAAAGAAAACTGTTCGGACCTGCATCTTCACGAACATCGGAAAATAGACCTCCTTCCTCCTTCAGGTATATGGCATTTCACTTTCATGTGCACTCAGATATTCAGCACCAGGTTACACTTTTCCTTAATTCTACTTATGGATAGTTTTTAAAAATAGACTTATTTTTTAGAGCAGTGTTAGGTTCCCGGTAAAACTGGGTGGAAGGTACAGAGATTTCCCATGTACCCCCTACTTCAACACATGCACAGCAACTCATTATCCCCATCCCCCACCAGAGTGGTACATTGGTTACAATCAATAAACGTATTTTGACACGTCATTATCACTCAAAGGCTGTAGTTCACATTAGGGTTCACTCTTGATGTTGTATGTTTTATGTGTTTGGACAAATTTCTGATGACATGTAACCACTGTCAGAGTAGTTTCACTGCCTTACAGATTCTTTGGTCTGCTTATTTTTCACTTCCTTCCCCCATCTCCTGGCAATCACTGATCTTTTTACTGTCTCCATAGTTTCACCTTTGCCACAATGTCATATAGTTGGAATATATAGGATGTCACCTTTTCAGATTGGCTTCTTTAACTTGTAGTATGCATTTAAGTTTCCTCTATGGTTTCTCATGGCTTGAATAGCTCATTTCTTCTTAGTGTTCCATTGTCTGGATATATCACAGTTTATTTATCTTTTCACCCACTGAAGGACATCTTATTTGCTTCCAAGTTTTGGAAATTAGAAATAAAGCTGCCATAAACATCCATGTGTAAGTTTTTGTGTGGACGTAAGTTTTCAGCTCCTTAGGGTAAATGCCAAGGAGCATGATTGCTGGATCATATGGGAAGATGTTGCTTAGCTTTGTAAGAAACTGCCAAAGTGTCTTCCAAAGGGACTGTATCATTTTGCATTCCCACCAGCAATGAATGAGAGTTCCTGTTCCTCACATCCTTGCCAGCACTGGCATTGTCAGGGTTCTAGATTTTGGTCATTCAAATTAGTGTATAGTGGTATCTCATTGCTTTAATTTACTTTCCCTGGTGACATATGATGTGGAGTGTCATTTTATATATTTATTTGCCTTATGTATGTCTTCTTTGGTCACGTGTCTGTTAAAGTCTGTGGCCCATTTTTTAAATGGGTTGTTTATGTTCTTGTTGAATTCTAAGAATTATTTTTGTATTTTAGATAAAAATTCGCTATATGTCTTTTGAAAATATTGTCTCCTGCTCTGCGGCTTTTCTTACTATCTTGATGGTGTCTTTTGCAGAGCAGAAGATTTTAATTTTACTGAAGTCAAGCTTATCAATTCTTTTCTTTCATGGATCATGCGTTTGGTGTTGTATATTAAAAGCCATCACAGTACCCAAAGTTGTCTAGACTTTGTCCTTTGTTATATTTTAGGAATTTTATAGTTTTGTGTTTTACAATTATGTCTGTGATCCGTTTTGAGTTAATTTTGGTGAAGGGTGTTAGGTTTGTTTTTGCATGTAGACATCCAGTTGTCCCAGCACTATTTTTTTTAAGGAATATGAGCCAAAGTTTTACTTGTTAATGTCTTGCATTTGAAGTACTCTTTGATAGCATCCTTAGCTTGAGATTCTTTTCCACAGTCCTACCACACAACTACAACCAACCATTATATGGAGTTTCCCTCTCTGTCAGTTTTACAGAGACCTACCCATCACCCTAGTTTATTGTCATCAACCTTAATTAGATTGATTTGGTGTTCAGCTCAAAGGGCCTCCATCAACTTGAAATACACAGTCTCAGGCCGGGCGCGGTGGCTCAAGCCCGTAATCCCAGCACTTTGGGAGGCCGAGGCGGGTGGATCATGAGGTCAAGAGATCGAGACCATCCTGGTCAACATGGTGAAACCCCGTCTCTACTAAAAATACAAAAAATTAGCTGGGCATGGTGGTGCGTGCCTGTAATCCCAGCTACTCGGAGGCTGAGGCAGGAGAATTGCCTGAACCCAGGAGGCGGAGGTTGCGGTGAGCCGAGATCGCGCCATTGCACTCCAGCCTGGGTAACAAGAGCAAAACTCCGTCTCAAAAAAAAAAAAAAAAAAAGAAATACACAGTCTCATCACAGTTAGATGAAAGCCACAAAGATGGGCTTGGCTCTTGTCTGAGGCTTTGACAGCTTCTCACATTCCATGTGCTTGGCTGTCCTGGATGAAGATGGTTTTCACCTCTTTTAAAGCAGTATTAACATCTGCTGCACCTCCAGCAGCGGTGCCTTCCTCAGCCATGGCAATGGGTTATGAGTGAAGGTGAATCTTGGAATTCATCAAGCCTCCAACTCCGTGCAACTTGGAGGTGGCAGGGAAAGAGCCCAGCACCAGTTTTTGAAAAGGCTATGTTTTCTCCATTGTATTGCCTTTGCTCCTTTGCCAAAGATCAGTTGACTGTATTTATGTCAGTCTATTTCTGGACTCTCTATATTCTGTTCCATTGATCTAGTTTTCCCTTCTTTCACCAATACTATACTGTCTTTATTATTGTGGTTTTATAATATGTCTTAAAGTCAGGGAGTGTTTGTCCTTTGAATTTGTTCTTCTCTGTCAACACTGTGTTGGCTATTCTGGGTCTTTTGTCTCTCTCTAGAAACTTTAGAATCAGTTTGTCAATATCCACAAAATGACTTGCCAGGATTTTGATTGAGATTGCATTGAATCTATAGATCAAGTTGAGAATAATTGACATCGACAATGTTGAGTCTTCCTAGCCCATGAAAATGGAAGATCTCTCCATTTATTTATTTATTTTTATTTCTTTCACTGAGTTTTATAGCTTTCCTCATCTAGATTTTACCCATATCTTGTTACATTTATAACTAAGTGTTTAATTTTTAGAGTACTAACATAAACAGCAATATGTTTTCATTTCGGTTTCCAACCTTGTATCCTGCAACCCTGCTATAATCACTTATTAGTTCTAGGAGCTTTTTGTCAATTCTTTAGGATTTTCTACATAGATAATCATATTATCTGCAAACAAACAATTTTATTTCTTCCTTCCCAATCTGTATGCTTTTAATTTCTTTTTCTTGTCTTATTGCATTAACTAGGATGTCCTGTATGATACTGAAAAGCAGTAGTAAGAGGGGACATCCTTGCCTTCTTCCTCATCTTAGTGGGAAAACTCTTTCTTACCATAAAGTATGATGTTCGCTGTAGGTTTCTTGCAGATATTCTTAGAAGTTTTTTTCTATTCCTAGTTTGCCAAGAATTTTTTTTTTTGTGAATGGGTGTTGGATTTTGCCAAATGCTTTTTCTGTATCTGTTGATATGATTATGTGACTTACCTTCTTTAGCCTGTGGTGTGATAGATTACATTCATTGATTTTCAAGGTAGTTGTTTCTTTAAGTTTGACTTTTGTTCAAGATTCCTGAAGGTAATTCCAAATGTTGGTTCAGGAAGTTACTTTGGAATGAAAAGGTTACTAGTGGTATTCCCATACCAGCTTTATAAAGTGAGATGAACAAAGCTTTTTAAAGAATTCCTATATACACTTCTTCTTTTCATTATTCAGTATTTTTTAATCTGCCTATAAGCAATCAAAAGACTTGTTAATAAATTGTTTTAAGTACGATAACATGAATTTTTTTTCCCTCAAGGCTTATGCATTGCATCCTTTGACTTGTTTTTTTAGCTAGAGTTAACTAATACATACTATAAATAAAATAATTCTTCACAAACTAACACTGTGAACCATCTCTTATGCTAGCCTCCATGCATCCAGTTTTGAGTCATCTGATTCCAGGTCTATCTCTGGCGCACGTCTTAGTCCACTAGAGCTGGTGAGTACTTTATATAACCACCAGTACTTTGTATTATGTTGTGAAATGAAATTAGCCAAAAATACTTGGAATCAGCACTTATATATGCCATGAAAATTATCATGTACACCTAAATATGCTAATTTAATACGAAAGCAGTTTCTTTTATATTGTTCAAATGTAATGGGTAATATCGAATGAAATACTTCTATAATTTATCTATAGTTTGATAATAAAGAAGAAATTTAAAAATATATAATAACTTGGTAAGCAATGTTGCACAATATTTTTGTTTTCTTAGTCATACATACATATTTTCTTAAAGTTATATATACAAAAATTATATGTTTAATTTATCTTAAAGTTGTGTATATCTTATACATATATAAAAATCATACAATGCATATTTATATATAGTCTCTCTATATATACACATTTACATATTAATATGTGTGCTCAAAGATTTGTTACTAAAAAACTAACAAAAATCCCTATTGATCTCCTGTCCCCTTATTCTTCATGGTTCCCTCCTCAGTGGCTTTCACTTTAAACTCTTTTGACACATCCTTTTAGGATTTACATCCAGATTTCCCAATGCCACACGGTCTTGCTGCTTTCTGACTTATGAGCGTGAGGAATTATCTAATGATTTCTCCCTAAGGAAAATGAAGATTTAGTTTCTGTCTGTCCTTTTGCCTTATATCATAATGTGTTCACCTTTTCTATCCCCACCGTTACGCCCATATAGATACAACTTTGGTTAGATCTGTTTTCTCTGACCATGATTACATAAACCCTGTTCATGGCTGAGCCTTGACTTAATGATAAATTTTCCTTTCCTGCACCACTTTTTATTTCCCTGGCATTAATAACTGCCTTACTTTTAAGTTTTGTATTATTAGTATTTCAACCCCAAACTCATCCCCAGTGGTCCAAATCTCCGTTTATATTCAGGCACATGAGGGATTCTGTGGATTTACGTCTTTGGAGAACTCTCCACACGTCCTGCCCAAACACTTCCCTGAGCACCTGGTGCACAGCCCTCCTTTGGTGCCCCTCACCATCATCCCGGGGACATGGCTTCTCCTTCTTGTGCTGGCTTTTTCCTGATTCCTGTGTCTCAAGTCCTCTTTCTTGATATAGTGTGGATTTCATAGAGCATTCCCTCCCATAGTTTCTTGAGAAAGGGTATGTGGAAAGTAAATTGAGATCTTAATTCCTGTTTTTTCCTCTTTGGAAGTTTGTAGGATGTTTCTCTTTGTTTCTAGTGTTCTGAAATTTCATAATGGTTCTTTGTGTGAGTCTATTTTTAACCAATCATGCTGGGCACTTGAAGGGCCCTTTCAATGTGGAACCTCATGCCTTTCAGTAAACATGGCTATTAATTGAATATTTAATATCATCATTGTGTCTTACCCACTTCTTTGTTCTGTTTGTTCTTTCTAGAATTTATTATTCAGATGTAGGACTTTCTGGCTGAGTGTGGTGGCTCACGCCTATCCCAGCGCTTTGACAGGCCCAGGCAGGCGATCACCTGGAGTCAGGAGTGTGAGACCAGCCTCACCAACATGGTGAAACCCTGTCTCAACTAAAAATACAAAATTAGCTGGGCATGGTGGTGCATGCCTGTAATCCCAGTCACTTGGGAGGCTGAGACAGGAGAATTGCTTGAACTTGGGAGGCAGAGGTTGCGGTGAGCCGAGATTGTGCCATTGCACTCCAGCCTTGGCAACAAGAGTGAAACTCTGTCTCAAAACTATATGTATGTGTAGGACTTTATGGACTGACACTTAAGTTTTCCTATTTTATCCTTTCTGTTTCACAGCTTTTTGTGGAAGAGACTGTATTCTGATCCCTTTATTGAATGCTTTTCATTTCTGCTATCATGTTTTTAATTTTCAAAAGTTTTTTTGCCCCTCTAAATTATCTCTTTATATAGTAGTCTGTTCTTGTGGTTGCAGCATCTTATCTGAGTATATTAGTGGTAGTTTTGATTTTTTAAATTAAGTTTTCTTCTCCCTTTATAGTCTCTGTTGCATTTTTATGTTTGTTTTTGTCTCTGCTTTTTATGCTAGAGGCTTCCTCTGATGCCTCATGCTGTTTGTTTGTCTGCTCTTAAGGGTAGGGGCATGTGGATGGGGTTGGTCAACCTATAGGTATCTACCCACGCCTATGCTTAGGAGGATCTGGCTGGACTGTGTTGTTGGTGACACCCCAATGGCAGTATCTTCAGGACTTTTCTTACGGGCTAGTCATATTCTCTGTAAAGAAGTATCTTCCACGCTTTTTCCTGGATGTTAAAGTCTTGTTGCTAGCTTCCAGGTATAGGAAGAAGGCAGGACTGCCCAGTATTTAGGATATAAATATTCAATTAATAACCTTGTTTATAATAAGTACTCTGACACTCAACAATAAGGGTACTTATTGTGATAGTACCCTTATTTATCAAGCTCAGTTAAAGAAAACCCTGTTTTACCTTCTTTAGAGAATAATCCTATCTTCTTCTGGGTTCATTAGCCTGACTACATGGAGCTAGGAAGGATGGAATTACACAGAATTTCAGCCAATCCTCCTTACTTTAACCACTCCTCCCCTTCTCCCCCTCTACCAGAAGTACTTGGTGATACCAGTTCCCTAGACTTTTATGGGATTGGTTTGTTAGTCAAGTGCTTCACAGTTTCTAGTACTGTGTGTGTGTGTGTGTGTGTGTGTGTGTGTGTGTGTGCGCGCGCGCGCGCCCACACACATGTGTTTGTATGTATGTTTGTTTTGGATGAACTATTTGAAAGTAAGTTGCAGACATTGTGATACTTCATCCATAAAAATTTAAGTGTGCATCTCATATGAACAAGGACAGTCTCCTGTATAACCACAATACCATCATCACAGCTCAGAAAGTTAACATTACTCTGTAATATTTAATGGATAGTCTATGTCCAAATGACCCCAGTTGCCTCAAAATGTATCTTATATTTTTCAAGTATTTATCAGAATGCCTCTGTGAGGAAGATTATACCGTTTATATATGACAGATGACAAAATAAGATCCCAAGATAATAAGCGTGAACCAATATTACAAGAAATAATTTGCCAGCTATTGTTGACACATGGCTTCTTAATGTCTACAACCTTGGGAAACAGTTGGGTTTGGAGCCAGCTACAGCATGAGGACGCAGTTCGGCAGCTTGGTGGCTGTACTTTATTGTAGAGTTGCTCTTTATTCTATGATTCTGTGGTTTGACTCCTATAAATTGCTTTTCATGTTAGCGTAGTCCCTACAAATTGAGTGTAGGGACTCACTCAATTTGGATCTACCCTTCCCTTAAAAAAAAAAAAGTCTCGATTCCTAGAGATAAACTGATCTTTGTCAAACTGGTACAGTTCTCGGACTTCAGGATTAGCTGCTAGGCTAAGACAAGACAGGCACTTGTCTGTTTAGGGTCATTGAACTTAAATTTCCTTACCTCAGAATGGTAGGTGCTATGTTCAAAGTACAGGTATTGATCGACTTACGACCTATGCAACTTACCACCGACTTTACGACCACAGTCGCTAGCCACGACTGCTCCGCGTCTGGCAGTGCAAACGTTGCCCAGCTGGGCATAGGACAGTGCGGACCAGCTTCTGGCAGCACTATCATCTCCGCGTGCATATAGCCTACTCAACTTATGACCAAATTGTGTTACGAATGGTCTGTCGGAACCAATCGTGGTCGTAAGTCGAGCACTAGGTGTAAACGTAGACAGCTAGGCGCAGTGGCTTACACCTGTAATCCCAGCACTTTGGGAGGCTAAAGTGGGTGGATCATGTGAGGTCATGAGTTCGTGACTAGCCCAGCCAATATGGTGAAACCCTGTCTCTATTAAAAATATAAAAATCACCTGGGTGTGGTGGCACATGCCTATAATCCCAGATACTCTGGAGTCTGAGGCAGGAGAATTACTTTAACCCAGCAGGCAAAGGTTGCAGTGAGCCAAGATTATGCCACTGTACTCCAGCCTGGGCAATAGAGTGACTCCATCTCAAAAAAAAAACAAAAAAACAAAAGTAGTCTAAGAAGTTCCCATTTTAAGTAAAATGACTGCTTTAGTTTGAGGTGGTTATTATTGTTATAGTGGATTATGTGAGGGTCTTAAGTATATTTGATTTTAAACAGCAATTAAAATTTGGGGTCCCCAGTCTAAAAATTCTGAAAATGGCCCCGTGCTACCTGACCTTCCACCTTTTTTCTTCTTTATCAGTGCAGTTTCTTAAAGAACTGTGGCTCTGGTAATCACTAAATTGACAAAGGGTGGAGATAGTGGGAGGGAGAGGGCGTGGAGAGAAGGAGATAACTGGAGAGAGGGAAAGAGAGTGGTGGAGGAGTGTCTCACAGTTAAGGGACACATTTGCTGAAAGAATTTGTGAAGACCTAACTGTTGACTCTCAGCGCTTTTTGGATCTTGGACACTTTCTCAGAGCAGTTTGCCTTTTAATAATTCCTCAATCAGCAGTCAGTCAGGGAACAGGGACTCAGACAACAGATTTTTAGCTCCTATATTGAGCAGATTAGTTCAACTCTGCTTTTGTACAGTTACCCTCTCTCTCTTTCTCCCCGTTCCATCTGGCCTGTGCTCCCGACACACCCTCCAGCGGGCAATGGGCTGGAAGAGTCATGGCCATCCTAATGGATATCTTAAATGTTGTATGAACTGGATCTTCTTTCAAGGGGTTGTCCTATGGAAATAGACTGTGTCTTCAATGGACTCGAACAGGTCCATTAGCCAGAACAGATCTTAAAATCTGACTGTGTCCCTGTCCTTGATTATACTCAAGTCATGGGCTAGTGTCTTGAAACAAATGTGAGGTAGCTAAGGTTCTCAAGTGAAAACAATTTTTTTTTTTTTTTTTTTTTTGAGACAGAGTCTCCTTCTGTCACTCAGGCTGGAGTGCAGTGGTGCAACCTCTGCCTCCCGGGTTCAAGCAATTCTCCTTCCTCAGCCTCCCAAGTAGCTGGAACGACAGGTGTGCACCACCATACCTGGCTAATTTATGTATTTTTAATAGAGGTGGTGTTTCACCGTGTTGGCCAGGCTGATGTCAAGTCGAGCTCCTGACCTCAGGTGATCTGCTCACCTTAGCCTCCCAAAGTTCTGGGATTACAGGCGCGAGCCACTGTGCCCAGCCCTCAAGTGGAAATTTAAACTTATTTGCAGCATTCTCTGATTTCTAAAATTATTGGAATTTTATAAGAGAAACATGTTTGCTGTTTTTTTCTCATAAAAGTCATTTTACTCCACAGAGTGAAAGAACATTTTGTAGAATTTGGCATAAAAGAAACTGCTGAGTTATTTAGTTGTTTTCTCTTAAAGAATTAAAAGTGCTTTACATGTGTCGCTTTATATTCTAAGTAGTCCCACGAGATGCGTGTTTAAATAGGACACATAATTTATTAAAGGTCAATGGTAAAATGGAACTAAATTTTTATTATATAAACAATTACTGATTTTGCACTAAGAAAATAATGCCTTTTATTAAGGAGCATTTGTGGGACTTTTATTTTGACCTCCAGAGAAAATTCAGTGACTCTCTTGTGGGGAAATTTGCTTTTCAAACCATATTTTTCCTCTTTATAAAATCTTTTGACTGGGTGTGGTAGCTCATGCCAGTAATTCCAGCACTTTGGGAGGGCAACGTGGGAGCTCTCTTGAGCTCAGGAGTTTGAGACCAGCCTGGGCCACAAAGGGAGACCCTGTCTCTACAAAAAATAAAAAATTAGCTAGATGTGGTGGTACATGCCTGTAGTCCCAGCTACTCAGGAGGCTGAGGCTGGAGGAGCGCATGAGATTGAGAAGTCAAGGCTGAATGAGCCATGATGACACCACTGCGCTCCAGCCTGGGTGACAGAATGAGACCATGTCTTAAAGAAAAAAAAAAAAGATCTTTCATTCAGTACAGTTTGGGTGTCTGTAGAAGGAGCCATTTATTTTGTCTGCGTGATTGTTCTTTGACAGATTTTTTGATCTTTGTTTCAGTTTCAGGGTACCTGCAGAATACAGACATTTTGAGTTAAGAAAACCACACATCTATCTTTAAAACTGAGATTACCCTCTATATTTCACTTTTCATAATTACACATAAAACACCTACTTTCCTGTATTACACTCTTAGCTTTTCTGTTCCTATTAGCTTCATGGCCTAAGTAACATTCTTATTAATATTTTGCAGCAAAGTAGGGAGGCTAAAAAGGAAAATGACTATTTGTTGAACAAATATAGTGCAATTTATGCAGACAAACAAGTGTCATCTCCTTCGGAACAGATCCCTCAGAATCCAATATCTTAATTCTAGCAAACCTGTGTCAGAGGCTAGGGCCTTGACTTTTGAGAAGAATTAAAAGTAACTTGGAACCAAACCTGATAAATAAGGGGTGAGCAACTTACATGAGGAAGGAAACTGGCATTTCTTGAATTTCCGTAATGGGAATTGTGTTTATGTCAATGGCCCGGTAAGAAGGGAACCACTGTCTCTGTGTTATAGCTGGGCAAGTTTAGAGAAGTAAATGGCCTGCACAAGTGCACAGAACTAGTGAGTGGATCCTTCTCCAGGTCTCCGAAAGTGATTTATGCTTTCTTCCATATTATGATTATTTCATTTACTCTTCTTTTTTTCTGTGGTAGAAAAATGTGTCTTTAATATCACAGAATAGTTTTTTTGGTCTGGTTTGTAAACTGCTCCTAAATATAAATGAACAAGTGGAAATAAATGTTTTGAAGAATGTCATCATTATTGAAATGAACTACTTGGAAGGAACACCCTAATATAGCTGTCTATGTTCTATTCATGTATGTGAGAAACCAAGCGTTTGAGATTATGCGTCATACGTGATAAATGACTTCACCCAATTTTCCAAATTATATGACTTGAATTTCACACTGGATGCTTCAAAAATTTGTTGATTAACTTATTGGATAGTGAGTCACTCATTCGCATATTATGGAAGTGACTTTAGGAATGTTAACTTGATCATTTTGGGTTAGAGTTAAAAGCACTTACTGCTATAAGGTTGTTCTTTCATAGACAAGTAACTGTGCTGACTCCGGAGACAGGAAGGATAAGACTACCAGGCAACACCAAAACTAGGAGCTTAGCCACCTTAGGAGGGTCTGGCCCCAGGTCAGAGGCCACTGAGGTCAGAGGGAGTTCTGGGTGGCATAGAACTTGGTGCAGGTGTTTTTTTAAAAATCTTTAAGGAACTAGAATTTTGTTAGTAATGTTCCTTTACTGAGAGTATCAGCATCAACACTTAAGAAGGGGAAGAAATAGGGAGTATCAGCATAAAATTGCTGAGATTTAAAATATAAAACACTTTCATAAGTCCAAGACAACTTCTTGTTTTTCTGTTTTATGGCTTTTTCACCTAAACTCTTTAAATTTTTTGATATCATTAAAAAATACATTTGTGGCATCCAAAATATGTAAATGTAGCACTTACATTCCACGTAATTCTTGGTACATATAGGTACCCAGTAAGTGTTTTCTGAACTGAATCGAACTCAGAATGTTGTAAAGCATGTTGAATATGCTATTTTGTAATTTTATTATTAAATAGATAATATCTGTTTGCTAGCATGGGTAAGCTGTTTTACTCAAGTATGCTAACAGTACAGCAGAGTAGTTAATACAGTATGATTGAAAAAAGCCAATTAAAAAGTGCTTTATATGTGCATATGTCACATTATGCAAGATGGGCCAGTGGGATGGTAGAATCAGGAAGCCAAGACGAGGCCAGGCAGATAGCCCTTGTGCTCTTCTGGAAGGGTTGGGGCTGGCTCTGAGGTAAGTGTTCTTTGAGACACAGAAGGTCATTCCAATTATTTAAAAAATCTCTTTCCAGAAACCGAAAGTTCCAGCATCTCCCACCACAGAGGAGGATTCCTGCTTTTCCTTTCCTAAGCCCCCAGTGGACGCTGCGAAGATTAGAAGAATAAGCAGTGCCAGGGCTCGCTTATTCAGGGCTGCCTCCCAGGGGGCCCTTCTGCCGGACAGATCCCTTCCTCCCTCTGACTGTAAGGCCATGTAACATCCTATCATCTCTGGGGACAGGCATGCTTCTTGAATTTGCACACAAAAGCTATTTTTATATGATTTTTCCTAACCCTGGGTGTTTTTTACATTAACTAAGACTTAGTTCATATTGGGGAAAAGCTGGTAAAGAAATACTGTTCATATATTTTTCCAGGTGCTTATAAAGAATATCTAAATATCACAGTTGGTAGGAAAAGAATATTGGGGTAATTAGCTGGGCGTGGTGGCTCACGCCTGTGATCCCAGCACTTTGGGAGACCGAAACAGGCGGATCACTGGAGGTCAGGAGTTTGAGACCAACCCGACCAACATGATGAAACCCCGTCTCCACTGAAAATACAAAAATTAGCCAGGTGTGGTGGCGTGTGCCTGTAATCCCAGCTACTCGGGAGGCTGAGGCAGGAGAATTGCTTAATCCAGGAGGTAGAGGTTGCAGTGAGCTGAGATCACGCCACTGCACTCTAGCCTGGGCAATGAGCAAGACTCTGCCTCAAAAAAAAAAAAAAAAAAAAAAAAAATTAGGATAAGTATTCTCTAGTGGATGGTTCACATATATCAAATAAATGGTTTTTAAGTTAGAGTTCAAAAAGTTGTTAATTTTATTAGAAATTAATGAAAATTATAAGGTTCTTATAGTGTATATTAAGATTAGATTTTTGAGAATACCTTTCTGATCCCATGTGAGTATGTGAGCAAAATTTGAATGGGACTTTTACTACTGCTGGAGGATTACTGTCAGGCACCTAAACCTGGGAAGGAGAGGCTAAAGATTATAGCCCTAGGAGTTCCACCAACAGTTGGAATCACTTCCCATCCAGACCACATTCAGGGTTTCTCAAACTGTGGGAAAGGACCCAGAAGTGGGATGACAGTCAATTTAGTGGATCACACCAGTGTTTTTTAAAAAAAGAAGTAGAATAGAATATAATGGAAAATGTCAGAATATGTAACACACTGTAGGGGTAAGTTTTGCTTCAGGAGACTTTACCTTGGTCTTCAGTGTGTATTCAGGGTCATGTTACAAATTGATTTCTAACTGTGTGTGGTCAAAAAAAGTTGGGAATCCACTTTACCAGGAGCTACAGAACTGGTTCTCCCTCCATCAACAAGATCTGATGAAGAGAGATAGGCTTATAGTCACAGAGAGGTGGGGAGAGCCTGGAAGATACATCCCAAAGATCACAGCCCCCACCTGAGCATCATAATACCCCACCTGATGGACAAGTATTTTCTTTTGATTCATTTCCAACATTTAAAAAGTAGAAGAATCTCATGGAAGAATCCAGATATATGAATTATTGTGAAAAATCAGAAAATCTGGCAACACTGGGTCCCCATTCCATGCGGCCACAGTGGGGCATGATCAGAGCTGAGTGGTACCCACACTCTAGGATATGATCTGCAGTTCACCATGGCCCCATCCTATGCCATTCACTTGTGTGTCTGGTCTCTGATATGGATGAAGAGGGAAAGAAGAAAGAGAAGAAAGAGAAGGAAGAGAGGAAGGAAAGAAGGGAGGGAGGCAGGGAGGAAAGGGAAAGAAGGAAAGAAGAAAGAAAGGAAAGGAAGAAAAGAAAAGGAAAGAGGAAAGAAGAACAAAAGAAAAAAGAAGGAAGGAAGGAAAAGAAAAGGAAAGAAGGAAACAGAAAAAGAGAAAGAGAGAAAGAGAAGACAATGATGATGTGCAGGGTGCATGCCTCACGCTGTGATGCCATGACCAAGTATGTCATATATCATTAGGCAAGTTGCGTTACCTTGATGTCCCAGTTTGTTTCCTTTCTTACACTGCCAGTCAGTCTGATATTTATTGGGAGCCTACTAAGCGCCTGGCACCGTTCTAGACCAACAGAGTCCTGCCCTCAGAGAACTTACAATCTAGTACAGGAGATAGACAATAACAGGAGAACAAATAAGTAAGATAATTTGAGTGCTTATGAATGCTCTGAAGAAGATAAACAAGATAATGGATTTCAAAGTGACTATGATGGGGTAATTTGCTTTAGCTCAGGTGGCTCTGAAAGGTACCTTTGAGGAGCTGTCAGCTGAGTCGGAAGGTGACTCATGAGCAGGAGGCAGCCATGTAAAAATCCATGGTCCAAGTGTCCACATGGAAGGAAAAGCAAGTGCAAAGATGGCACGGGAGCAAGTGCTGGTGGTGGAGGACCCGGAGGCCCGGTGGCTGGAAAGGGGTTGATCAAGGGAAGTTGGAGGGAGCTAAGGCCACAGAACTGCCCAGGGCCTCAGAACATGGAGAAAACACCCAGATGTGTTCTACTTGTAGTGAAAAGCCAAGGTAGGGTTTACAAAAGGGAGAGACAACATGATGTATGCTTTTTCATCAACAGCAGTTCTCAATGTAGCTGCACGTTAGAATCACCTGAGGAGCTTTTCAAAAGCTTCACCACTAGAGTCCTGTGTCAACTCTGGTCAATCAGAAAGGGCTGGTCATTGCAGGATCAAAGGGCTTGCCAAGATGAGAGGGGCTGGGACCTGGAGGCAAAGGGCACTTCTTATGAACAGGATTGCAGGGTTGGTGCAAGGACTCATCCCCTGTTTTTAATTCTGTGTTCTTGCTTGTGAGGTTGAATACTGTGTATGTTTTATGCATGTAACTCTTAGGAGTGCACACTAGAAAACGCTGCTGCTTGCCGAGGTACACGTTGATGTGAAAGTGACCATAGAGATGAGTGCTTTGCTCATTATCTTCCTCCTCAGTGCTTCCCCAATGGCTTAGCTCCTTCCCCCCGGGCTACCTGACTGTTGTCTGTGTGCTCTGGGAGGGGCCCTCTGCAGCTGTCATTTCCCAGCATTCAGGACAGCTCCACACCTCCAAGGAGCACTGAAGCATGTATTCATCGTGGTTCTTTTATCCACCCTGTTTGCAGTCACCGCTCTTCACCATTCAGGCCATCCCTGAGGTCTGGGTCAGCATTCAGGAAATAGTGGCAGCAAAAACTCACTGTCATTTTAAAAGTACCTGTCATCCAATTAGAAAATTATGAAAGATGTTTGAGCTCTCCAGCCTTGGAATCACTGTCATTTGTCTGAGAGCTCCCTGGGTTCCATTGCAGAGCCTCTCTGTTGTTTAGAAGAGGTAGCCTTTGCGGGGTGACTGAGGATGTAGAGAGGGAAGGCATTCCTTCACTTGGTGTGAAGTCATTTGTGGCTGGCACTACCCCACAGGCAGGGCCAGGGTGTGGTGGCCGGTTTGGAATTCCTGCTTTTTAAGAGAATGAAAGAGGAAGAGATTTGTGTAGTCATCTCCACAGGGCCAGCAGTATAACTGCTTTGTGTTCACATAAGGTTTTTGGCTGGAGGTTGCACTGCTGTGAATTCCTCCCCAGTCATTCAAGCCAGACAAGAGGCCTGAGAGCAGTCACCACCTTCTCAGCCATCCCTGTCAAACTCTCCGTCACCAAGCACTGCACGTGCTTCCTGACTCGCTCTTGAGTCTGCATTCTCCCTTACCACTGCCACGCCACCTCCATCCCTCTTGCCTCATCTTGTTTTGCTGCTCTTAAACCACCCTCTGCTCACTGGGGTACTGTAATGGTCTGCAGGTGGGTGGATGCAAGGCCCTCAGCCCGAGGAACAGCCAGTGGAGCCTGGGGATGCTGAGCTCCCAACACAACATGGCTGTGAGCAGCAGCCTTAGCCCTTTATCCCAGGGGACCATGAAAAATGATCATAAAGCACAAGAGGTCGGGAAGCAAATAAAGATCAGATTGCACCATCCTCTTGCTGAAAACTCTTCAGAGGCCCTGCTGTGCCTACAGAAGTGTTTGCCAAACTGAGTTCCAGGGGACTCCAGGGAACACTTTTGGCAAAACGTTAATAGCTTTTCTTTGGGAAAAGGGTTCAGTGCTCAAATAGGTCAGGGAAACACTGCCTACCTGTCATCTTCTTGGCGAGTCTCTGTACACGAGTGTATTAAAGTGTTGGTAAAGAAATCTGTTCAATTTTAATTCAACCCAGCATTTCGCAAACCTGCTGGACTGTGGGGTCTGTCTTTCGGGAACACAATTGGGAAACACGAGCCTGCTGTAGAAGTTGGCAAACTTTTTCTGTAAAGGGACAGATAGTAAATATTTTAGACCCGATCCGTATGGCCTCTGCACAGCCTCTTCAGTTTTGCCATTGTAGCATGGAAGCAGCCATCCACCAATTTATGGCCATTCTCATTCCTGATGAATGTCCCCCATGAAACTAAGCTTGTGTAACTATGGTCTGTATCTTCCTGGCAGATAGTTGCAGTGCATTTTGTGAATTTTGTAATGGATCATGGGTAAATTTCAAAAGGAGACAGCTCCCAGCAGCCTTACTATGCAGGACCAGTTCAGGTTCGCAAATATTTATTTGATATCTGTTATATACCACACCCCGTTATCAGCTCTCAGACAACAAATAGACAAAAAAGCCTTTTCTGTATTTGAAACTTGAATTTCATGTAATTTTCTCGTTACAAAATATTGTTCTTCTTTTGATTTTTTTCCAATCATTTAAAAATAAAAAAAGCATTCTTAGTTTGCAGGCTATATGAAAACGAGGTGGGGCTGTAGTTTGCGGAGCTCTGGTAGGGGCGGTGGGGGATGAAGTCCAGCCCCTCCAAGTACACAGCTCTGTTGTCATCCAGCCCCGGCCTAACATTCCAGGCCCTGCTCATGCCTGTCCTGGGTCTGCCCCCTCACAGTGGGTGCACCAGCAGGGTGGAATCCCTTGTGGTTCCCCACACCCACCCTGCTGTTTCAAGCCTCAGGCAAGACCTGCTGTATAGCTGGGCCCATTGCTGAATGAAAATGTGGAGCTCTTTATTCAAAAATTATTGAGAGTTTCAAGATGGCCATAGCAGAGCCTTAAACCAAGTGTGGGCCCTTCTAAAAGTGGGGCCTGCCTGACTACACAGGCGATGCACACTTGAAGTTGACTTTCACTGCAGACTTCTGTTCCCTTTTTTTCAAGCTGTTTACCTCCTATTAACCATTCAAAATGCATCTTAGCCCCTGCCTCCTCTGTGAAGCTTTCTTTGACCAACTCCCAACCCCTCAAGGTTTCTCTACTCTCTCTGCCCGCTCCTTACCCAGCTGGGACCACACTGGGCTGCGTTTATCTCTTTACACGTCTGTCCCTTTTGTCCCCCCTGCTAGATAGAGCAACGTCGGTAAGAAAAGCCTTTTTCTCTATTTGTTGCCCAAGACCTGATAACGGGGTGTGGTATATAACAGGTATCAAATAAATATTTGTGAATCTGAACTCGTCCAGCTGGGAGCTGTCTCCTTTTGAAATTTACCCATGATCCATTACAAAATTCACACAATGCGCTGCAACTATCTGCCAGGAAGATGCAGACCACAGTTATACATGCTCAGTTTCATGGGGGCATCCATCAGGAATGAGAGTGAGTGCCCCGGGGCACTTGTAGTAATAACTGACAAGCTTACTTCAGTAGATTTGAAGATAGACAGTGTAGCTCCTCCACCTATAGGTATGGTTGGGTTTCCCTTCTAGACGCTCCGTGATGGCCAGGACTTGTTCACCATGACTTCACCCGTGTAGTGAATAGCACCTGGCACATGGTGGTGGGTGCTTAAGAAGTATTCAGGGAGTGAATGAAAGAGAAATGAATGCTAAAAGTTAACAATAGGCTAAAAATACTTTGTAATCTGAAACAGAATATGTTCTTTGTAATTCACTAGTGAAGTCATTTAAGGTGATGTGGTGATGTGGAGGGCGCCTTGGCCCAGAAGTTAGGATTCTTGGGTTCCAATAATCATAATGACAGTAACTTCTAGGTTTTGAGTGTGCTAGCACCATATAAGTCACTTTCCTAGGCCACATCATTTTAAATCTTACCACATCCCCAAGAGGTGGGGACCACTGAAGGTGGCATAAATTGAGTGATGTCCACATCACAGAGCAGGTGCTTGGGGGACCTGCCCTCAAACCCAAGTCTGAGCCAAAGCCCGTGCTCTTCCCACCCTATGGTCCTGGCTCTCCCTGTGACCTTAGACAAGTCACTTTACCTTTGGGTTCTCAGTTTTCTCATCTTAAAAAAAGAAGCCTAGAATTTCTAAGGTTCCTTTCAGTTTCAAAATTTAGTGTTTTGAAAGCAGGGAGTTTGGTCAGAGGAGAAGAATAGGTGGTTTTGTTATGACTAGTTTTTATTGGTTTCTTGGTTTCTTAGATAAATACAGAAAAGGAAAGGAAACCTTGAGTCATTTTGAAAAATCTTGCAAAACAATAAGTATTTTTCTGTATGAAGCTCATCCCCACCACCTCACAGTGTGCTGTGGGAGATTTACTCTCTTCCCCTTTAACAAAACGTTTTATCACAGACTACAGTTTAGTAGCAGCATAGACAATAAACTATTCCTAATATCAATTTGCTGATAAGGAAAGTCATATATTATTACATGTCTAAGAATCTGCAGTCCTAAACAAAAAGACAGGATGTCTTCTTGCAACTCTATCTTATACCTCTCTAGAGGTGTGTTCCAGTGCCCTCTCCTTTCCGTTGCAGAGTAGTGGTCTACTAGGCTAGGCCTACACAATCCACCCCTTACCCCTCTAATCACCTCTCCTCCTCTTCACCCCCTCACATGCTGCATTCCTGCCATTCCTTGAGCACCCCATGCACAGTGGTGCTAAAGAGTCCCCCACTTCAGCCTACCTTAGGGCCACCACACCAACTGGTCTCCCTGCTCAAAACACTCACCCTGGTCACCTGGTGGCTGGATGCCTCACCCATAAAGGATTTGCCCCCCCGCCCTACTGTACCCACCATATTCCCAATCCCCTTGACCCTTCCCCACTTCGATACTTTGCTTTTTTCCACATCACTTACTATTTTATAATATGTCATATACCTTATTTATTATGGTGATTGCTTATTGTCTGTTTGTTAGGATGAAAGCTGTGTGAGATCAGGAATCTGTATTGATGTACACCAAGTGCCTAACACAGTGTTTGACATGGGGGAGCCACTCAGTAAATATTTTTTTTAATGAAAAATTACTAACGTGATCAAATTCAAGAAGAAAAGTTGCTGTTATGGGACAGGGAAATACTTAAGTGGAGTAGGTAGTTTATAAGCCTGAAGTTGAGCATCTGCCTTCAAGTAGACCCTAAGCTGGTAGAGGTAAGATTCTGTACATTTTTACCTGCAAAATTGATGGTGCCAGGCTTAAGATACTGGTCTTGTGTATCCTCAGGAAGGCTCTGGCCATAAAATTCCAGATTTATATAAGCAATGGATAACTTTGAAATCGTAATAATTCTTAGATTGAAAAATAACATTGAAAGATAGTGATTCCTAAAATACTTTAACAAAACATTTTCTTGGTTATATTGCAGCAAAGAAGACAGTGGAATCCAAAGAAACAGTTATGATAGCAGACTCTCTGGTGAAAATAAATGGGATTTATTTAACAAAATCAAATACTATTTGCCACTTAAAGAGTCACCCACTTCAGCTAACTTATGATGGAGGCTTCAATGAAATAAAGAAGCAAGAAATGTTCAAAGGAACAACATCCTTACCATCTCATCTCAAGAGTGGAGGGTCAGTATTCTTTTTATTTAATTTTCTGGTCAGGATGACAATATCATTTACCAGTTTCTTCTCTGTCTTATATAGATGATTGGTTTGCTTTTTCTCTTTTATATAAACAAATTTTAAATTAAGGATACATGCATAGGAGAGACTACTTCTCATGGCTGAATGGAGTTGATTTTACATCATTCCTTGTGTAATACCCAGGAAAACTCGTTCATGACTGTCAAATTGCTACTTCTGTAGGACTGTAGAATAAGATTTAGCTGAGTGATGACTGATCATTCCGTTGGTGTATTATTTGGGATTCTTGCATGGCCTGGAATCTCCTATTATTTTCCTTTGGGTTAGTTCACTGTCTTTAACTCCACAAGAGTGGACACTTATTCTTTAGTAGAGCTTGTATTAAATGTTTGTTTTGCAAACTAGTGATTAAAACAGAAGAGTCCTATAGATTTCAGTTATCTGCGATATCCCTCCATTAGCCCCTCATAAATGAATGATTGGGAATTACTTTATTTCATACCATGTTCCTAGTTAGGGCTTCCTTGAGAATCAGTCTTCCTACCATATTTAGGATTTACGGAGAAATGCTTGCTGTATGGACTGTGAATTCTTATCCCAGTGTTTTACTGAAGAAACCTTGAATGATTGATGGCTAGAATGGGGGAAAGAGTGGAGAGAATAGGCTCTGTTTTCCGGTCCCAGCCAGTTGTGATGCTAAGAGAGGCAGAACATCTTGAACTGGACAGGGTCACTCAGTTTAAGTTATTTTTTCTAGGACTTTCCATTGGGTCATCATGGATAACTGCCCAGTTCAGATTTGCTTAACAAGATTAAATTCCATGGGCCATTTTAAGACCAAGTACTTCTTACACTTAACGTTAGATTTGGGTCTGACGTTGGCTTGGACACATGTAGCATCCTTAAAACTTTTTCCCCAAGTGGCTGCTTGGCAGCTCGTTAGTTTAGCTGCACTGACCCTGTCTGCGGACGCAGTCTGAACAGTGTCACACACAGAGAATTTATATTAAGCAACCTAGTAGTCCTTGTAATGTCGTTTTGCATTCAGAACATTTTTTTAAATTAAAGGAAAAATGAGATGTCTCCTTAAGTGGAAGAGAATGATTTCAAGTTGGGACTTTGGGAGTTGAGCAGAAAACATCAAACTGGCCATTGCAGACAAATCGTTTCCAGTTGGTGAATAAGAATAGGCTGTGGATCTCAGAGTTTAAACATAAAAGGCAGCAGGAAAACTTGTATTTCTTTCAGCACTGAAGTAAAAAGGAGACATTTATCTTGCTGCATCCATCCTTACAGTAATGAAAGTTGACTAGAAAAACCAGACAAGAGCTATTTAATTTGTTTATTTGCAAACCTTCAGATGTGGCAGAATAATCTGGCAAGCCAGAGTTCATTATGTCTTCCTCATTCTGGGACAGCAGGGGCATTTTCAGTTACATATTTTATCCCACAAACAGCAAAAGACAAATCAATTAGCACGTCTTCCTGACTGTCCAAAATTATGAAGCACTGGCAGCGGCACTAATTGTTTTCTTTGTGTTTTGTTAGGACGGCTTTTGCATCATATAAGGGTTGTGTCTACGCTGGGTTTGCAATGTACCCTGGCAAGGCTAACTTTCAGTAACATTTTTGCTTTATGAATCTTTACCACCTTTAATCATTGGGTGGAATTTTGTTGGAGTAGTGCCAAAAAAAAGTTTATATAGTGGGATTAAAACAAACCAGAAAATGGAAACTCTTAGCAATTATTTCATTAATGACATTTATGAAAGAGTCTGGGACACTTGATAATTGTTTCTTGTAAACATTTAAGTGACTAATTCCAAGAAATGATCTTTGCTATGCAGTGGAGTATTCCCAGTTTTGATGCTAGAGCCCTACCCTCAATTAGCATTTTTTCATCTTTAGACCATAAAGTGGAAAATTAAGATTCTTGTCAGTGAGCTGGGCTGGCAGGAGCAGGGATGGTTGAGAAGGATTGTGTAAGTAGACCGTAGAAAGTGGACAATGAGGTGAGGACACACTCCCAGTGTGGGGACCTTGCAGGCTTCTCTAGTGTGAGAGGGGCCACCTGTGTGGTGTGTGTTTATCTGGCTGGGAGAGGAAGGAGATTTTATTTACATGAAACTGCAGTAATTGTATACCCTAATTTAAAATATGGATAATTCAGAGATGGGATGGACTGGAGTTCAACTTTATGCTGGTTATGATGGAGAAAGGATTTGCTAAGCAAAGTATCATTGAGAACAATGTTTTAGGGGACCGTTTAACTTTACAAAAGAGAACACACTCTCAAGCACTTATGAAACTGTTGTCCGCAAACCTTGTGCCAGTTATGATGGTCTCCATATGTCCATTTAGGGATTCATTTAAGGTCTAGCAGACTTGCTCCTCAGCAAAACTTCACCATCACTTGCTTTGTATTGCTATATAGATTGAAAGTAATGCAGCTGCCACTGACAAAAATGTGTGTATGCTCCATCCATCCACCCACCCATCCACCCAACTACCCGTCTACTCATTGATATATCTACCCATACCTCCGCCCACACACTCATCCATCCACCCATTCACCCATCCATTCACCCATCCATCCACATACTCATTCACCCATCTGCCCACCCATCCATCCATACACCTGTTGGGTGCCAGCCCCAACCCTTTTTGTGGATTCCCTTAGTCCCGGTGGTGATGAGGGAGTGAGAAAAGAAATAAACACAAAGATAAGAGTATAGTTTCACAATATGGGTCCAGGGGACCAATGCAAGCTCCCAGGGACAGCAGTTGGCCCTGAGCTCTGGGCTCCACACACTTTTATTAGGTGCATTATCTCATTGATCTTGGGGGCTGTGGTGAGGGGAGGTGAGAAAGGTAAACTAAAAGCTATTGCAGGGTAAGATGGGGGGTGGGGGAGAGCGTGTGTCTGCAGCATTCAATTGCATATGTGGTTCTTCTAAGAAATGCTAACTTAGGACACTGAGTTTTACCACCCATGGTTATCAAGGTGCATCTGCATAGAAGCACAGCAGATCCACCAAGTCTGACCACACACAATGCATCAAGGGGCTTTTATCTCCCAAGCATTGCTGACACAGAGCAATCAGAGTTACTCCATATTCTGAGAACCTAGGCAGAGCCTGTGGCATTCTGGTTATCTCTGCCCTTTAAGGCCTTCCTGCCTTGCAAGCTCCCATCTGCAAAGACCCTCCCAAGTCTTGTGAGCAGAGGTCGCATTCCTTCCAGAGTTCTTGCACAAGCCCTCTTTACAAGACTCTCATGCAGACTCTACGTTGGGAAGAGATCATGGGACCAAAGCAATCTTTCCTGCCTTGCAACCACACCGCTGCGTTCCACGGCTTTGAAGTGCTCTCAGATGGTCTTCACTAGGGGCTTCCGGTTACCACTTGATTTCTGTTTTTACAGTCCTTAAACAATTTTTATTTTACTGCACCATTGTTTGGAGTTTTCTTAACTCAATATTTGATCCGTGGAGTGAATCTCAGTATATAAAAAGCAAAGCAAGCTTGTAATTATTTAACTAGAAATAACATAGGTCTGCTCCTGGCCATCTTGGCCCACATATATCCACCCACCCATCCATCATCCACCCATCCATTCATCCACCCATCCACCCATCCTTCCATCGACTCATCCATATGTCTACCCATCTATCCACCCATTCACCCATCCATCCACCTATCCACCCATCCATCCATCCATTCATCCATCCAGCCATTCATCCGTCTATCCATCCATCCGTCTACCCATCCACCATCCATATATCTCCGCATCCATCTACCCATTCACCCATTCATCCACCTATCCGCCCATTTATCCATCCATCCATCTACCTACCCATCCACCCATCCATGTGTCTCCTCATCCATCCACCCATTCACCCATCCATCTACCTATCCACCCATCCATTCATCCATCCATATATCTACCCATCCATCCACCCATGCACCCATCCATCCACCTATTCACCCATCCACCCATTCACCTACCTTTGCACCCATTCACCTGTCCCCCATCCATCCATTCATTTACCCATTCACCCATCTATTCATCTACCTATCTACCCACCTATCCATCCATCTACCCATCCATCTATCTATCCATCCATCCACCCACCCACCCATCACCCACTCATCTGTCCACTCATCCATCCACTTATCTACCCATCCACCCACCCATCCATCCGTCCGTCCGTCCATCCGTCCATTCATCCATTCATCCATCCATCCATCCGTCCGTCTGTCTATCCGTCCGTCCATCTGTTCATCCATCCATCCATCCATCCATCCATCCATGGATGGAATCTCTTTCAAAGCAGATGAATCTTTTTACCTGCTTAAAAAAAAATCTCTTAAAGCTTTCTGCGTTAATGTCATGGTTTGGAAATATGATCTTTAGGAGGAAAGCTCAAGAGCAGCCAATTGTTATGGAGAGTCAAGGACTCCTCTTGATGAGCCAGGATCTCTGGATTTAGATTTGGTTCTCTCTCAGCCACTTGATTTGGCTGTATTTGGCAAGTCTGTTAACACTTTCAGGGGCTCAGGTTTCTAATCTATAAAATGGAAATAACTCTGCTCTTTTACCCCCATGTCCTTCTAGACCTCACTGTAGGTTGTGGAATGTTGACTAAGGCTTGAAAGCCTTACTAATAAACTATCGAGTGCTCTTAGTATTGTTGAAATCAAAAATAAGAAAAGAGGGCTTCTGGTTAAAGGCACAAAGGCATTCTCTGGAAATCCAATGAAAGCAGCAAAGAATGAAAAACAGAGAAATAAATTTCATCAATTAAACAGAAAGAAATGGCTACGACCCTGAACTACACAACATGAAGCAAACTATACACTGCAGTATGGGCTTGAGTTTTTTTTGGTCTGCTTGGCAAAGAGGCCTTCTCACATTGTGTAATAAATCCTGCTCAGTCCATATTTAGAGAAGGACTGACCCTGTCTTCCCTGTGTCTCTCCCTG